CATGCGAAGCAAGACGCGATCAGAGAGTACTTTGCGACATGCGAATGTCGACTGTTTCTATCTTTGTCAGACATGCAAAGATACCGAAGCATCTTATACGTGATAATGCAAATCTGTTGATCCTGTTCAAATAGGATAGTACCAATCTGAAACATGTATATAATGACCATGTAAATATCGACATATCTTACGAGGATTTCTGCGAACTGTGTCGCTGCTATTGACAGCAAAAGTATGAATTTGTAATGATAGACAAAGACAGTGCGCTCACAAATGAACGATACAGAAAAGGATTTAATGAATACGGCAGTACCGTAATGTGAATAGTCGTTGTCGATACATCAATTACGCAACGTTCTCTCTCGAATACAATATGAATAGCAGCAAGAAACTAAAGGATCGTGAGCGTGAGGATAGTGAAGCAGATTGCAAAAACCAATGATTCCATTCGTAAAAAGTATTGTGCTTTGAAAATCGGTAAAATAAACGAAGAAATAGCGCTGAAGAGACATTTTTAGCCTATCATCGAAACAAATTTTCGAAAACATCATTGGCAAGAAATCTCAGTCAATTAAGAAAGAAGTAAATATTGCAAAGAATAAAATTATTAAAAAACGGAAACCTGAAGATAACGGAAATGATGATGATGATTTCTGGATGAATAAAGCTTCAATTAACACCATCGCCTAAAAAGCAACGAACGAAAGAACCGATTGTCATGTCGGATTCATTTAATTCTTCATCACGCAAATTATCATACGAACATTTACATTCTCTCTTAGTTTCCTTGAAGATGTTTATGAAACGCCCAATGAACCACTTGAAACGTTAGTTAAACAGTCTTTTGTAAATGCAACAAGTTCGTGAAGAGTTACATAATCAACTGGGGCCGCTGGGACAAAAATACGTAAACATGCTTCTCGGTGGCGATAGAGAAAAGGAGATCGATCACGTTTATGGCGTATATCTTAACGAGAGAACGGCACGATGCTTGGTGATAAAAAATTCGATTTAGACACGAGTAATTTCGTGATCGTAAATGGAGTAAAGTACAAATATACCTGTGTAGTATGAATTAATTTTCAAAAGAATTCCCAACGACATTTACACAGAGAATGATAAACTAACATATAAAAATATACTGCTGGCAACGAATGTTCATAGGCGCAGTCATTAAGCGGATAATCCAATAGGTAGCAAAAGATACAAATATAAGAATATAATAGCACTTGGTGTCACGTAAAATACAAGTTAAAACGGTCATACCACGCGCCAGGAAACTAAACAACAAGTTAGGTAAAAAAAGTCGCAAAAGATGTGATACCGCATGCCATAACCCTAAATGAAAAGAAAATCTATTATGTTCATTGGAACGATCCCAATGAACATGTGGATTGTCTTCGATTGTTTGGCTTCGTGTCAGGCAGGTCACAACCCACGATAACGAAACCTTATCCATTATCCATTGAGGAGCTTCATGAAGCTGGCCTTATTATAAAACGAAGAATACGCAGTAATTTTAGTCGACGCCGAAACATTAATCGACAAGATCAAGTTTGCGTAAGATCTTTATAACATTTTTTTGCATTGTATATCATGACAAAAAAAATGTCTGAGAAGAAAAGTTTTAAAAAGTGGCGACTGATAGAAGAACTGCACGCTCCAGCGAGAAAAAATTTTCCACGCTGACGTATCATAGTTTACGGATACGATGACTTGTGGCAGGCAGATGTGATCAAAATGCCTTATACACGGATTCAACAAAGATTACCACTACATTTTTATCGTTATTGATGTGTTGAGTAAGCATACATGGGCCGTATTGCTCAAAACAAAGAAAGAGATGGCTACAGCGATAGCAAAGATAATTCGAGACGATAGAAGATACCCGGAAGATTTGCAAACCGATATATATACCGGAAAAGAATTTTACAACATAAAACTCTTGAAAAAACACAACATAAATTATTATTCAACATATTCCATAATGAAGGCGTCGGTCGTCGAACGGTTCAATCGTACATTGAAAAACGATATGTGGAAACAATTTACACACAATAGAAATTACAAATGGATCGACTTGCTATCGCGTCTCGTGTCAGAGTACAATGCATAAAAACATCGAACTATCCGTATGCGACCTATCGATGTGATTCCCACAATCGCCAACAAACTTTTAAACACGATGTACAGTAGCGTAAAGATCACACTCTAGCGATTCAAAGTGAATGATTCAGTACATGTGAGCAAGTTCAAAACGATTGATCGAGAAAGATCGAACGATCTTTGAGAAAGGTTACACGCCAAATTGAACCACGGAGGTATTTAGAATCGTCAAAGTACAGAAAACTGATCCCGTGACATCTTCTGCAAGATTATCGCGGAAAACTGGTCGCTGGAGGATTCTACGAGTACAGGTTACATCGCGTCGCTAATCCCTACGTATATCTAGTTGAAAAAGTGTTGCGCAAAAAGGAGAATGACGTTTACATGAAATGGATTTGATAATTCGCACAATTCATGAATACATAAGGACAAAGTGTTATAAATAAATGTATTTCTATGAATTATATATCAGTATATATTTATTACAATATGTAAACATGTAATTGAGATTTTTTTAATTAAAAAGATACATAATATAACCATACAAATATAAGTTTTTTATTACAAATACATAAGTGTACAAAAAAAATGAGATTCATTTTACTTATTTCTCTTTTCTTTTATATAGTAATATTTTATAATGTTCCCATGGCAGTGTGTCTGTAGAATCTGGCACAATGTACGCTCGTCATCGTACGGACTTAGAGCAATTTTCATTTCCGATATCGTGTATACTTCGTGCAATTTCCATCTTATGTACACGATTGCCTGTGCTTCATTTCAACTTCGTTATTTAGACATCACATGTAACCATCAAATATTATCAATTTCGCTATAACGTTACTTTTGACTCCTTTTGCCTTCTTTGTATCTTTCTTCCCATCGACGCGCAAAGCATATTTTTGTTCTAAGTCCGACAAATTCGGTCATGATCGTGCCGTTGTTTTCATCTTTCATTAAGCCCGGAACTTTTTTATTAGCTAGCGGAATACAATACGCATTGTCGATCGCACCATCGCTAGTATTGAATCGGTTGATATCACGTTTCATAATATCGTAGACGTTGTTGCATTCGATGTAGTAAATGAGACTATCCATATTAGTGTAACATTTACAATTTTCGCGAAACTGCGGTACCATATGGTGAAATTCATACAAACATGTCTTGGATATATTGAGGATACACATACCCACGTTTGTCAAATTTCACCTCGAGTTTACACATTTCTATTGCGACTAGATTCTCTACGAAAAAACTTCTACTATGAAATTTTGATTTCGTGATCATTGCCTCCACATCGTATCTCCCCAACGTGTACGTCGACGTGGTTGCGCACATTCTCCAAATACAGCATTATTCATTAATTTATACAAATTTTTCGCAAACTCGTTGTTGGCAAGAGTTCTAAAATTCATATTGAGTTCGCGAAGCCATGGAGATTGTGCGAATTGTAGTACGCGGTAAATTTTTGCGATTTTGAGACGAGTACATTGTTGTAGATTACGATAACGATAATGAATTACGTAATGCTTCTTATCAACATAACGAGGAGCTTTTTCTCTCGCTTGTGTCGGGTGATTTCTCGGACAGAATGGTAGGTTTGTGCGAACGTCGTGAAGATGTTGCGGATACTATAAGTCTACCTCGAGAACATAACCCGTAGATGAATCTGTCGCGACAGTCGGAACATCAAAATTTTCTACATCGTCAACCCATCGAAAATCGGCGTATGGTTGATACATTGCCCAACCGTACAAGTTCTAAACGTCAAAGTACATAAGATACATCGACAGTTTCGATCGTACGACTGCTTGTACTTATTATTAACCCATGCATATCTGTTTGAACTGTTTGACTCAACAGATTTCTACGTATACCGCGTTCGATGAACATGACTATGTCGATATCCATAAGAAGTTCGAATTTTATTCGTGTTTTAACATCCCATATAAAACCCGGTAGTGTTTTAATAATAATACGCGGGGTCGAGCCTCTAATTCGCGATGCAATTGTTACGGAAATTTTCAAAAACGTCGGCTAACAACAAAATGTCTGTCTTTAAATATAGATCGCTATCTTCACCGAGTGTTCGAATGGAGAACCGTTGCCACACGTTGACAGCGTGCGCGTAATCACTCTCGGATACGGTATCACCTCGTCAGCGAGCTATAAAATAATTTGCGCGATGGTAACTCGGTTTCCTCTAAACTTTTCGACATAGTCAATGTGCTCGTACAGAAATATGCCTTTGCGTGTGAGAAGATCGAAATCTTCCGCGCTGAGGTTGAAAAATTCTGACCGTGTAATTTTCAATTTATCTTTATCGAGATACGACGCCAATTTTTCTAAACTGGTACTGAGAAATTAACAAGAATCAATAAAACGTAAATTTATATATCTTTTTCTTATTATTTGCAGTGTCGTCGATATGTTTGGTAAAGGAAATATATTTTTCTTTTGTTATAAGAAATATATCTACTCATCCTTTATACGCAATAGCTATATCCTTGATAATAAAATACGCATCATATCCCGATAAATTACAATATAAAAAACTATAGGAATGCAATATGAATTTCTGTAATTCAAGTTGCAATTTGAATGCGCGGGACCTCTGTATCGCCCGATCAAGTGGAAATGATCCCGTATCCGCGTGTCATCCGGTGCAAAAGATTTTTCACATACGTGGCAGTGCATAGCACTGATAAAATTTATCATATCATCTCGTATAAAATCTGATATTAACGTTAGTGGACAAGATAATCTTTATTTTATACGCTAAATTTTTAAGTTCCTTGGCGAACCACGCGATGCAATTGTTACCGTGATGAAACTTATATATACACAACGAATCATTGTATGAACAGCGAACATAATATACTAAACTAAATACCCGATGATGTTGGTACGTGTAGATGGACGTTTCTATATCCCTCTCCGTTTTTTCCAGGATGCATTCCAAGTCGACGTAGACTATGAACGAGACACGTTCCTTCCTGATGTAGTTCTCGAAGCTCAACCACTTGTCGTCTTCGCTCGGTAACCTGATGGCACAGTCGTTTAGTTTTTCGCAGTCTATTGCGTGGATCTTCAATTTTGCATTCAAGCTAAAATAATGTAAGCATCTGAAAAAAGAACGTATAATTTATTATTTTCTCAAAGAACTTTTTTTATTACAAATAAATTTTTACGTAATTTTTAATTATACATATCGGTCGCAAAAATACTTCTTACTCTTTTTTGCTGAGTTGCGAGCTTACAAGGCAGGACAGATCTTTGATCCATGCAAAATGCTCCACGTTATTGTTCTATAGATCCTACACATAAAGCAAATTGACGTGCTTGTCCGTCTTCATATCGGTGAGCCGTAAATAAAGAATCGTCATTTCTTTTTGCTTCTCGAAACCGTACACGTTGATGGAGATGTCGATGTGATTTTTAAATTTTTTAATTTTAGTCAACGTCATTGGAAACTGGATGTCTTTAATACCGTCGTATAATGTGGATATGATAACTTTCGATTTGTATTACTTTAAGTAGGGTGTAACGGGTTAGTAACGGGTGTAGAGCGGCTGTCACCGATCAGGCAAAACATGCATTGTCTAAAGATTACACGTTGATTACCGTTTTCTTCATTTTAATTTCCCTCGATAACTTAATCCCACATGCAATGGATTGTACTTGTTTATGTTAACAATCAAATTTAAGATATGCGACATCTATCCGCTATCGCGCTCCTGAAATTTCTCGAGCGATGCTAAGATGGGCTCGACAATGCGCGACCATTCTTGTAAAGCGGACGAATTAAAGAGTTCATAGTTTTTCGTACTGACACTTTATTCGCTCGTTTATCACCTGATATAAATTCACCATTAAACACGATGTTTACTTTAATATTGTTAAGTCTCTGCATAACAATTTGCATACGCTCAATCTCTCTCGCGTCTTCAAGAAACTGGCGCGATTCGATGTGTCCAGAGTTTATTATCGCGCCGGTCAGTATACGGCTTTCGAACGCGATATCTATCTCGCTCCATCTGAGTCCCGCGCTGTATCCGGTATCCACTTGTATGAAATGTCCACGCACCGAATCTTTTAAAGTCTTTTAACTTAAACTTTCGAGTCGCGCGATACGAGCGATTAACGATTGTCTAACATCGGTAATTGCGGACGTTTAATGTTTTGTTCTTCCAGCGATTCGATGAAATTGTTGCATTGTTGTTCCCACGCAAGAAATTCTTCTCGCGTATTCAACTGAGCGGCTTGTTCCAGATTATGCTCCGTTTGCTCCATATTATATCCATATTTTTTCACAATCTTTTTATTAAAAAAGTTTTAGAAAAATATATATATTTTTAACCGTTTTTTGTATGTTTGACAAAACTTTCACAACACCTTGTATCACTGTGTGCAAATAGGATACATACAGGGTCCATTATGAAAGTAATGCGCATGATTTTCTTGTGACGCGAATATCCATCGCAGCGGGGTAAAATGGGTCGGGAAATGTGGTGGGGGGTCTGTCCTTCCCAGCCGGTCGCCAGTTTGCTCTTAACAGTCTGAGTGGAAAGACGTGCCTCCGCGTGAAGTGTGTTTTTCGACTTTGTAACACGGCGCGATGGAGCTTGAACAGCGATACGCCATCAAGTTTTGCGTGCGACTTGAAAAGAATGCAACCGAAACATTTCAGATGCTTCAAGAGGCCTTCAAGGACGACTGCATTTCAAGGTCACAGTCCGGGAGATGGCACAAGGCGTTCAAGGAGGGCCGGGAGGAACGAATGAGCAAGTCTCGCATCAAAACGATGCTCATTGTCTTTTTTGACGTCCGAGGAATCGTCCATTTTGAGTTTGTACCGTAGGGAGAAACTGTCAACTCAGCCTTCTACCTGGAGGTGCTCAAGAGATTGAAACGCCGGGTCGCGCGCGTGAGGGCTGACATCAAAGACACGATCAAGCTCCACCATGACAATGCCCCCAGCCACACGGCCTTCATCGTTGCCAACTACTTGGCCCGGAGCAACACCCCGGTGGTCCCCCAGCCCCCTTACAGTCCCGACTTGGCTCCGTGCGACTTTTTTTTGTTTCCTCGTCTGAAGAGAGAGCTGAAAGGAAAGCATTGGGAGTCCGTGGAAAATATCCAAAAGCATGTTATAATACAACGTTCCTAAGAGACATTTCCGTCGAGGAGTTTCAGCGTGCCTTCCAGGCGTGGCAGACACGTCTCCGCAGGTGTATTGATTCAGGGGGAGAGGATTTTAAAGAATTTTGAGCATTTGTACCGCTACGATCAATAAATCTATTTTTCCCAGAAAATGCGCATTACTTTTATAATGGACCCTGTATTACATGGCATTATTTGATAAAGAAAATCTTTACATTCCGAACCTTCGAGAATCACACATACGTCGGTATCATGTTTTTGAACGGCACGAAGACATAAAAATTAATTGTTTTATTCTTACGATGCATGATAAGCAATATCTTCTATGACATCAGTGTAATAGAACTCAATGCAGCACACATCTTTTTCACAGGACGTAAGATGTTTTGAGCTCGATTTAAATCTCAATATATTACTTCAATTTTATCATCATTGTTCTCCATGTCACTGCCGAAACACGAATCATTTGACAGAGCATGATCTTTCTCAGACATTTCTTCATGTTGATCATTTATTTCTTCTTTTATCACTTCATTCTCGTGAGGTGCAAAATTCATTTTTCCATTAAATATACCCAAACATATAACAACGATATAACGTTGAAAGAACTTTAAACTCGACTGCTGACTACATGAGTATACTTTTCATTTTTATATACTATTAGGTGTATAACTTTGCTTATACCTTTTTCGTATAGATGGCTTTAGCGGTAAGTAGTGATCGAAATAAATAGATCATAGACATCACACAATAAACTTGGGCATCTGTCAACAACTCCATAGAAACATTAGTCGATTTGTGTCTGCATCATAAAGTTATTCTCGATTGAAAATGTCAGTTTACAAGCCAAATTCTTGTCATTTGCAGGAGGTTTTAATTTTCTGCTTCAATATGAAGAAATCTGCGGCTGAGGCTCATCGAATGCTCTCAAATATTTATGGTGAAGCCGCTATTAGTGAAAGAACGTGTCGTAAGTGGTTTCAACGCTTCAAGAACGGTGATTTTCACGTCGAAGACCAGCATAGCAGTGGAAGAGAGAAGGTTTTCGAAGATGCAGAATTGAAGGCATTACTTGATCAAGACTCTTGTTAAAATCAAAAAGAATTGGCACGATCATTAGGAGTGACTCAACCAGCCATTTCAAAACGTCTCAAAGCCATGGGAATAATTCAGAAGCAAGGAAATTGGCTGTACGAGTTGAAGCCGAGAGATGTTAAACGGTGTTTGTTTGCTTGTGAACAGCTGCTTGAAAGGCAAAGACGGAAGGGCTTTCTGCATCGTATTGTGACGAAAAATGGGTTCATTATAATCCCAAGCGCAGAAAATCATGGGGAGTTCCTGGCCATGCTTCCACGTCGACGGCCAAACCGAATATTCACGGCTCCAAGATCATCCTCTGTATTTGGTGGGACCAGCTCGGCGTAATATATTATGAGCTGTTAAAACCGACTGAAACAATCACAGGCGATCAGTATCGAACGCAATTGATGCGTTTGAGCCGAGCATTGAAAGACAAACGGCCGCAATACAAAGAGAGACACGATAAAGTAATTTTGCAGCATGCACAATGCTCGACCCCATGTTGCGAAAGTGGTCAAGATATACTTGGAAACGTTGAAATGGGAAGTCCTACCCCACCCGCCGTATTCTGCAGACATTGTTCCCTCTGACTATCACTTGTTTCGATCAATGGCACACGGCCTGGCTGACCAGCACTTCCGGTCTTATGAAGAAGGAAAAAATTGGATCGATTCGTGGATCGCCTCAAAAGATGATCAGTTTTTTCGACGCGGGATTCGTATGCTGCCCGAAAGATGGGAGAAAGTAGTGGCCAGCGATGGACAATACTTTGAATCATAAATGTATAACCAGTTTTTTACAATAAAGCCTCGAATTTCGGAAAAAAACGGTATAAGCAAAATTATATGCCTTATATAGTTGTCATTTCTTTAATACGCTGCGTGTCTTAATGTGTTTTTAACATGTTTGAACGTTTTCGAAGGGTGATTTTATGTAATCGCAGCGATACGCTAAAAATTCTTATATGAAAAAAGTGTAGGAACAGATGTACATTATTGGTGTAATAAAAAAAGATTAAAAAGATTTGATATGATCACTTTAGACAAACAAGATTCGATATGGTCAGAGTGCATTCTTATGATACGTGCCATTCGAATGGATCAATCTTAGTTTCCACTACGGCCATCGCAGAAGAAACATTTGTGAGGGTATTATATATACTTTAAAACATTTATAATTGAGAGTTGTAAATTTCCGTTACTCTGTGTAAAAAATGAATAAACAATATTGTTCGTCGATGATGCATTTGATTCGCGGTAAAGAACTTGGATTGCGAAACGCGCTTACTCGCAATACTAATACATGCTGCTGTGAACTTAGATAATCGAATCAATTTAATTGAATACATTTATGGCACTTACTACTCGATACCATATCTGGTATCCTTCAACCATATCGCAACTGTTCTTCGAAGTATAAAGTATCTAAAAAGAAAAAAACCCCCACTTTGGGATATGTAAAAAAATGTGAAAGGGAGAACAATTCAAAAGAAGAACCTGAACAATATTATTGCAATCTTTCAGATGGATTCGACGGACAGCTATCGCTAAGTTCTCCGAAAAAAAATCTCAAGCTATTACGTTCCGATTCAACAGGATGAAGCACGCGGGAGACAGTAAGTTTGTGTTCAATTACATAAAAAATTTTGTGCACATATTTTGTATATTATACATTTTTCTACGTATCGCTTATTTTCTATTTCTTTTTACAGTGTATCTTTTCATTCGAAACTTCGCTATACTCCTTACATCTTAGGAAGGAAATACTCATTAACGCCTGCAGCTTATAAATATTTACCAGGTGTATGCATAAGTTTTTTCCGGTTTTTTGGTAAAAAAAAACAACGTAATTTTCAAGGGAAATTAATTTTTTTTTATTCAAAATATTGGCCATCGGCTTCTACACATTTCGCCCATCTTTCAAGTAATTTATGAATACCATGCCAGAAAAACTGCTTGTCTTTTGCGGCAAACCATTCGTCGAGTCATTTTCCAACTTCCTCGAAATTGCTGAAGTGCTACTCTGCGAGCGCGTGTCCCATTGATGCAAAGAGGTGATAGTCAGATGGCGCCAGGTCTGGGGAGTACGGCGGGTGCGGAAGGATGTCCCATCCAAGCGATTTCAATGTGTCTTTCACTGGTTTATGCTGTGTGAGACGGGGCATTGTCGTGTAACAAAATCACTTTGCCATGTCTTCTGGCCCATTCCGGTCGTCTTTCGATTAATGCGTGGTTTAAATTAATCATTTGTTGGCGATAGCGTTGTGTATTAACGGTTTCACGAGTTCAAGAGTTCATAATACACAATATCGCTCTGGTCCCACCAGACACAGAGCATGGTCTTCTTGCCGAAGCGATTTGGCCTTGATGTTGATGGACCGGCTT